GCCCTCTTGTAATCTTATTACCGTCTCGTGTAAGACGCCTCTCGTTCAGGCGCCATCGCTTTCTAATTTCTATTCGAACTTTCTGTTCGTCTGCTTCGCCATGCCAGACGCGCCTAAGTTCCACTTGCTCGGACCGCGGCGTTACGATCCAGGGGCTGCGTCTGGTGTTCCTCTGGATCGGATGAACGCGCTCTTGTCTCGTCATCGTCTTTTAGAAGAGACAAGAGCGCGTTTTTTTTCTTTTTTTTTTTTTTTTGAGAATATAAAATCAAGCGTGATTGTATATTTACGATTCTTCATTATCGAATTAAAGCCACATACCTTCACTTTAATTATCTGCCATATCATAAGCAATGTGTTATTGGTTAAGAAACTCACCTGTCAACGCTCGTATGATTGACGTTATCATAACATCACGTGATTTCTAATGGTTGCAAATTTTTGAAACAACTCATCGATTCCTGTTGACAATTTCATTCGAGAATAACCACTCGTTATAATGTTAAAATTTTGCAGGTTCCTCAACTTCGCCATATCCTGAATCCGATGATTGCATAGTCGTAGCTCCGAGATTTACCTGAAATAACACATCGACTCGTCAGAGAGATCATCTAATAAGGGAATCGTCGAACAACACTGATCATTTGTCTTCCATCACTCTTCTTTCTGCATGAAAATTTCACTGGACAATCGTTAGGATGCTAATAATCGGTGGCCTAGCGTAATTCCGTCGAAAGAACCGAGTCCGAGGAATGGGAAGAAATATGACAAGAAGGCCTGATCGACGTATTCGGCTGCGAGCGATCCGTGACGATTAATTATCGCCGCCTAACTGTCACAGCCGATGCGTAATCATTAATTTCTTCTGAAAATTTTAGCGCGGCATCGGCGGACCTAGACGTCGTTCCTGTCGTCACGACGTATGCGTACGCGCGACGGGGAAGCGCGAGATTCCACGATGGATATTAGGTTGAGGTAATTACAGCCATTAGTTCGCGCATACATCAATTATCGATGACACGATGACATGGAGTCTGCCGCTCGGAGGCATCCCTCACGATGGGAATGCTTGCGCGCTCCCCGTGTATGCAACGTTCGCGCAGAATCGTTATGCCGCTCCTCCGAATCCACGTGCCTCGTATTCGCCGTTGACTAATAATTTCTAGACTTCGACAGGGCAGAGAAGCCAACGTTCGACAAAAATGCAAATACGAAGTATCGTTGACGAAAGATGGTTTTTCAGAGGGATTGGTTGAACGCTCGAACATTTAAGGGGGAATTTGTCGAAAATCAAGTTAAATCACTTTTTGAATTACGTTGGCCAAGTAACCAACGTAATACCTAGCCGTTTTGCACTTTTGAATATGAAATCTCTACATTTCTCTTTCCTGTAATGCGCAAAAGTTGGCTTCTTATTGCTGTAAATTCCTCAATTTACATTCGTAACGCAGTTTCACGGTGAAATTTTTTAGAAAGCAAAGTCTTTCTTTTTGAGAAAGAAGCTTTCTGTTTTTATTGCTTGAAATGCAAGAGATAATTTTTATATTCTCGATACAGCGCTGTAGCGGCCGGCGCTGGTAGAGTACAAAGGATTCTATCTGAATCCTGATCGTTCACGAGCTCGAAGAAGAAAAAAAAAAAAAAAATAAGGAGACTCGTTCTCGGACCGAAACATTACTTGAATCTGATGAAAAGCTCATTAGCCCGTGTAGGAATTAGAAACGCGTAACTAAAACGCATCTAACAGCGGTTATAGGCCCTGTTTCTTTATCGAGTCATTAAGAACCAATTTCGGCGGCTTCTATTAATCACGTCAGTTCGGAGCGACGGGTCACGATGATATCTGTGACTACAGTTATTGGTTGACTCGCATCACTTTTCGAAACACGTTGCTTAACTTTTCATCGCGACTATTCTCTATTTTTTGAAATTTCCATCGATCATTTGTCACTTTAATATCAGCAATTAATCAACGTAATAGTGGTGGTGGTTTCGCGTTCTTCTCTTTAACCCTGCAGCGTAAACGTTCATTTCTCTTATATTTGATTATTAATTATTAACTAAATCACACGCTGAGCTATTAAGCAAAAATGAAACGTTGCATGTTGTATCATAAAAATGAAAGTCTAGAAAATATTGCAAATTTCCGCCTCACAGTGCAAATATGTGTTTCGCATTTTAAATATGTGCTTCGAACTGTCGTTGCTATAAAAATACGGTCGCGCCAGATGGTTTGTTTTTCAATAATCTCCTTAAATTCTGACGACGTACAGTATTCATTAATGACTGCCACTTCGTCCTGTTCTTGTTTTTGATGCACGAAGTACAAGCTGCTTTTTAAAACGACCGGCGTCAAACCGGTTCAGCGATGTCGAACTATTTTCCCATGTAACTAACAATAAAAGAAAAAAATGAGCATTTCGCGTTAAGTCGTGCCGATGTAATTGCCATACGACCAGTTTTCCTGTATTTATATAACGCGACGCAGAACTCCTTCAAACCGGTTCGATTTCCTGACGCTTAATGGTTTCCCTCGTCGATCGAACGGCAGAGGACTGTTCCACGACTAATTTCCAACGTCTATGCTGAGTATTCAGAGCGGTATTTATCATGTTGTCCGCGGTCGTTCCACTCTGCGAAATTAAACGTATGAAGGTATAATCTTGTTCGCCACCTTTTTATTCTTGGACTAGGGTCTAACTATAATCTTGCAGCGATGATAACTTGTACATTATCGAAGTATCTTATTTAAACAAAGAAAAGTACCAACGACGACATCTTTGAATTCTAATAGAAAATTATGCATACTTGCAAACATTAACGTTACAACAGTCGACTACCTACGACAGTAATTTTTAAATTGATTGAAAATCGCACGTAGTAGCGTCATCGATCCCTGCAACGTTAAAATACATTAAATGCATAAATACACAAATTACACGTTCAATTCGTTTCTGATAAAAATGTATCCATACCATTTCTTTTCTGAACACCTGATAGCTAGTAATGAAACGATGCCCGATCCTTCCGATCCAAAGAACTTGGTCGATAATTAGAAAACAGAAGATCGAACTCTCGCTACGTGTACAATCTCTCGTCCGACGATACGGAACTGCCCTCTTGGGTGAATAAACCCATAGATATAAAGCATGGACATGCAGTCGGGCGAGCCATGCGATAAGATATAGGGAGACGGCGTACAAAGTCCCTTGGGACCAGTTGAGGTCTTAATTACTACCCTCTCATGCTGGAATGCCGCGTTATCGTGCGGTTACTTCTGCCCGTTCGTGTATACGTGCACGGGTCCGACATTGAATTACACTTTCCTTTTTGGTTGGACCTTCCCAGCGGTCATCACCGTTGAATAAACGTGTTAATTACACGTGACACTCGAAGATTCTGAAAATCAAACTACTTTCGAACAGGTGAATGGAATAAAACTGTAGCACAAAAATAACCAGAAATATATACTATGTAGTTATTCGCGTTTCGAAACTCGATGTTCGTTTAATTGAACAATTAAAATTATTCGCGAAACGACACGCGGCAAAGTGATTGATAAACTATGTATAGAAATGGGTGCAGCTTTGATCGCAAATACGAGGCCTGTGAATGACTAGCTTCAATAGACCACAAAAGATCTATCTTGATATATTATCGTGCCCGTAACATATTTTAAATGATCCTCTTGTTATTCAAACTCCATTTAACGCACAAAGTTCACGTTGAAATCTATAACCCAGAGAGGAATATCTTTTTTTAAATAAGCAGAAAGGCCTAAGATCGATAAAAGTTCACCGAGCCGTAACTGGCAGAAATGACTTTCTTTCTATTCATCGTAACCGATATCAACGACGACATTGGCTATATCTGCTTGGACAGACATAAATCCAGACGAGGATGGATCGGAGAAAATCTATATCGTTCCGGTTCTCTGGTCTCCGGTGTTCTCCACAATGCTGATAAATGCGCACTCAACAGAAGCGTGCACGATCAGGTCGGTAATAGACAGTTTACATTCGGCAATTCTGGTGAACAGCGAAACGTTTAGTAGCAGTAACCGATCGTTACATCCACCATCCGTTTCCCGATATCCAGATATCTCTCATGAGTTACCGAATCCACGATCAGCTAACATGGAGGTACGAAAATTTACAGGCTGGCGATCAAAGCAGTGCAAGAACCGGTAGCATCGTGGAGCCGGAAGTCCGATTGTTTGTGCGACCGTACTTTCCGCTCGACTACGCGTCCAATCCCTCTGCAAACGGACGTAGACGTAGATCACCGCGTAAAAAGGTAAAAAAAAAAAAAAGAAAAAAATAACGGATAAGTTACATATATTATCTCACGGATAAGTTACATCAAATGATATCGCAACGAAAGATGGTTATTAAAACGATCGTAGCATATTCTAAAACGAAGTTGCGCAAGAACTCAGGTTGAATTGTCTAGCTCGCGCCGTGGAACGAAGTAAATCGGTTAAAACTTCGTCTTTCCCCCGCCTTGCTTAATTATGTTCCAGCTAGGCATGCATTATGTATTTCACTTTGTTGAAGACTTCGACCGCCCCTGGAAGTTTGTCTTCCGTCGGAACTTTCCTATGGAGTTTCCAATTGTAATGTACCACTTAAAATGAATTATCGATAACTTTCCCGAAAATCTTCGCGAAAGAAATGACAGTACCGGCGACAGAAACGATCCAACTTTCCCTCGCGAATCGTATGAACAAAGAGGAAAGTTAACCGAAGAAAAATCGGAACTACGACACGAACACTTTGATGTTTCGGTGCAGAGCGGTAGGTATATCGGGCCGGCCGAGTAACCGACCATCCTCTATTTTTACATCCATCACGGATCCACTTTGTGAATTGATCATCGATCCCGACGTTTCGGTATTCGGGCGCAACCAAGCGGAAATCTCCAGGGAACTGCGGAGTAACGGAGGACGCCGATGAGAGTTTCTCGAAGATCGAGATGGTACGCACGTTCGACGCCTAGTATTCTTCTCCTAGGTTCTTCGAATTTTTGGCGGTTCACCGCCAACTAATGACGAACCGAGGGACATCAATGGAACAGATGTGGAGAAGGGCCGTTTGGGTTTCAGGTGAAAAGGCCGGTTGCACATGCACAGGACGGATCCTGGTTCGTTTTAGACTCAGCCAGGCGCAAGTAAGCCACTTTGAAATCAGATAGGTTCGTTATTTTGATAGCCTTCCCGATGCTCACCGATGCATCTACGATCGAGTCTGCTTTAGGCATCGCGAAAACGCGATTAAGCCATGCTGCACCGAACACCGAACTTCCACAAAGTCGTGAAAAGTTTGCAGACTCCTTGCGAGCGTTCCAAACGCTCGTTTTACGCTTGTAACTTGCTTGATGCTTGTAGTTGCTGAAGCGATAAAAAAAAAAAAAGAAGAAGAAGAACCCTTTAACAGAGAGCGGCGAAACGAAATTAGGAATTAACCGACTATTCACGTTTTAAACATATTTCGTATTGTTTGAATGATGGGAATCCGACGTTATTTAAATTTAATTTTTTTAAATTTTTAATTAAAAGAAAAACAACCAAATGAAAGTTTTAAATGATCTTGAAAGTACTTGTAAGTACATAAATTTGTATTATAACATCGAGGGCACAAAGAACGCGAAATATTTGGGCCAAGTATGATGTATGTACGTCAAAAAACAGGACGGTTTGCAAGGGCAAAAAGAAAGGACCAAACATGTTGGCATACGCAGACCAGTATCGGTTCTCTCTTGTTAGACATCATCTCGAGCATGTAATGCGTCTATGGTCCTATGAAACCCAACCCTCTACCCTAAATACGTATCGTTCTCTATTAGTTATAAACACACCTGCTGTTTATGGATCTGTGAACAATTTGAAAAAGTTCTCTTACCGCCGTTTTGTCCGATCGAACCACTCTAAATATTTTGATTGCTCCTCCATCAAATTTTTTTCGAGTTGATAGTCAAGCATCGCATCTTCCTGTTACGCACGTCACATATCTCTTCTTAAGCGAACAATTTAGACATTCAAAAAGTTTTAATAAAAGTAATATAGAGCGAAAAATTTAATTTCTGTATTTTCAAAATTTGACTTTCAAATCAAATCGATTATGATTATCATAATTAAACTATACCGAAATTTTCGAACATAATGTTGAAATTTAATTGGATTCTTAATGAGATACGTACGAGATGACAAGTTGTTGTGAAACTATGTTCTATACGCAGAGACGAAAGTGCTGGTTTGCATAAACAGAATTAATTATAAACGCAGAACTTAGTTTTGCGGCATCGTCGTCACCTTCAACTTCCCTTAATCGTTATTCTAGTTACATCGCAGCGCCCGTGCTTGTTATATCTAAAGTAATTTTCGCACAAACATGTTTTAAAATAAACGTAAAAATCTTACTCATCCTACACGTAGATGTATGATATATATATATATATATTTACTAAATTTTTCTTTGTTGTTCATTCTGCTGAATTTGCATTAATAGCCGTCTTTTCCTTTGATGAAATCTGTTAAATTACATAGAATTTGTAAAACAAACGTTGCATCTTTATGAAAGCATACATATATATTTAAATATCAGAATTATAATTAAAGCAGTGCAAATATATAATACAAATACTTGTAACGTTACAAAATGTCGTAAGCATATTAAGCATTATTTTTTCTCCACAATATTATATAATCACAGTTTAATTATAGACAAAATAAATGTAAATAACGCTAAAACAATTTTTTGTACATAATAAAATGAAAATACTAGTTAGAGAATTAATAAAAATTCTCCACAAAATTCAATATTATCCAATATTAACTTAAATATCAACATTATAAATTAATAATTTATATGTAAACATTAAAAGACAAATTAATAAAACATATCAATAAATATCAACCATCTCCTCTTCCATCTTTATTTTCTATTGTTGTTGCATCTAGTTTTTCAGATTTATTAAGTTTCTCATCATGATCACTTGTTAATTTATTAGTTTTTATTGTATCACCGCAAGATAGATCATCATAACTTTTTTGAATATTATCTATCGCAATAGTTTCTTCTTCGCAGTAATCTTTTAAAACTGGAGGAGTAATCGATTGTTTGACTTTCGGCATGTCTTGTATTTGCTGTACGTCGGTACCATGAGCCACCTAAACAAAATAACAGATTTTGGAACAATTGTGAGAGAAAGATTTGCAGTTAAATATCGGACAAATTTGGTAAAAGTATTCCAATTAAAAGAAAGGAAACTGTGTATTACCTGAAGAATTACTTGTACAGGTTCGCGGTTTTCTAGACTTCGTAATGTATTACCTTTTTCATTTTTCCCCTCATGGCTAATTCCAAATCTCAATAATGGTCCCAAGCCCAAATTAAATGATGCCCCAGACAGAAAAAATGGTATCATTATTATAACAAAACCTACACATAAGAACAGCATACATTTTACAATCCATCCATATGTCCATGGCAGATTATCTAAAACAATAGATGAATAAGCAATAAATCAATTGAATTGTTAGAATGTAAATATAAATAAAACTATTCACTTACCTGTAGCATTATTTATGAAATCAGATATAACAGTCCCCATGTGTGAAACCGGATGAAGTATGACAGTGGTAATAAAATGTGATAATGCAAATGCAGGTGTAATTTTTAGTTTTGGATTAGACATTATTATTTCATAATATTTCTCACAATCGTCATTAGCTATGCAGAGAAAACAATAACAATAATATTTTAGAATATTATTCAATGTATCAAAATATATATATACTTACAAAAGAATGAAATGAACTTCTGCCATAAACTCATTTTATCTGGTTGACACGAAATTGGTACCTCTGAAAATTTCATTTGTGCAGCAATGGATTTAATTTCAGCTTCCTGTAAAAAACATATTACGACTTCAGTTAAAAAATAAAAGTAAAAATTTTAAAAATTTTGTTGTCAATTAATACTACTTACCTTCATAAGTTGCCACCAAGTCATAAAAAAGCTCAAAACAAGAATGATTTGTATGATATAAAAAATGGGTAGCTTTTGCCCTCGTCTTAGCATTTTAAATGTGAGACAAACCATTAACATTGCAAATATAATTATAGTACCATCTGGCTAAAATATTAAATTCACAAAATTCTTTTAATATAAATTAAAATATATAAAGTGAAATGTAATTAAATAACAAATATTCTTACATGTTCTTGTACTGTCTTAAGTACTGTTTGAAAACCTTTGTGTAATATATCACACATGTATATAACTCCAAACATATAATTATAATGAGGCTGCTGTATTATATTACTCAAAATTTCATCAATTTCCCTTAGAGATGTTTTCTCAATATGAAAATTTTTTAGTATTTCTATCTGTGAATGAGATACTTCAATCTCTATTGATCCTTTTATTAACACTTCATTCTCATCCTGTTTTCAAAAAATAAAATATATTCAGCTTACTTAGATAAATTTTAAAAGTTCTATTGTAGGTAATATTATTCTATTACCTCTATGCGAATATTTGATAATAATAAATTAATAAGACGCTTATAAAATATCACGGTTGCTTCATGATTACAATGATCATCTACGGGCTTATAAGGTGACAGTTCATTCTTAACTTCATTGCTTTGAATACTGCAAATATTAATATTTAGATATTTATAATATCCTAATGTTTATTACTTTGATTCATTATTAACATGAATCATACATTTTATACATACATGTCCATCTTTATATCTTTGGTTACAGTTTTACTGTGTTTATCATAAAAAAATGAATGTGGATCTACTAATTCTTCTGAATCTCTATAAAATTATATATTATCTATTATCTATGTACTATTTATTTTATAAATATCATAATTAACACATTACTTAATTTTAGAAATAGAAGCAATTTAGTGATGTTCTTACCTTGTATCTTCAAAGAAGTTCTCATGTTCGCAATGAACAATTAAAATAATTGCAAACATATGACTTAATATAAAAGTAAATTCGTTTGCAAGTTTCATTCTGAAGAAATATACAAGTTTTAAATACAATACTCTCAATAATTGAGGTTTATATGTTAAAAATATTGTGCTAAAAATATTGATGTCCTCAATTGTTTCATAACCTATCTTTTACTTTCTTTCGAATACACTACATGCATATGGTATCAAAAATTTATATTTAAATAAAGTGTAACTGAGATTTACATGTGATTTCATTTAAATTATAAAATTTCGCAAATACACATAAAACAGTGGTACCACATACATAACATATTATGGTAGCACAAAAATACCAACACATACAAAAATGTATAATAACAATACTCTCATTGATTCAATAGATTTTACCGTAATCTATCAATCGATTCTCTAAAAAATAAAGAACTAAATAATTTTAAAGATAAATATGCACTATTATTATTATACTAATATAATATAATAGAAATAGTGTACAAATTATTTAACATTATAATAATAAATCATAATTCCATTTCAATCTAGGTATTTTTCAGTTTCTCTGTTGTATCACATGTAAACAATGAAATCGATATAATAAATTTATATTTAGTAAATATAAAATAACATAGAGGGAAACATCATAATAGTTATTTGATTTTTCTTATACTTTATATTTTCCTATACTTATAATATTTCTTTACTGTTAATAATGAAATTTAAAATAGTTTTATATAAATTTTTACTGTAATTAGTCGACCATGTACGTTATCAGTGCATGTAAGTAAACAAAAAATCACTATCAAACATGATTTAATATAACACAACAAATTTTAAATGTATATTTCTATTTGCTTTGAAGTAATAAATCATATTTATTGTATTTTCCTCAATGGTTTATATTAATTTATTATTATTATCTTTTACTTTCTTCAACTACTTCTATAAAAACTTTTGAAATATTTGTTCATTAAGATCATGTACATTTGAATTATTATATTCTATAGATTTTATAATTAGATAATAAAATTACTTAGAAAAATGTTATTTAAATGCATAGAATTACATTTAAAATTTTGTACTTTTGTCAATGATTTAATACTATCCATTAAATATGGTGACATGATATATAAATAATAGTAATTATTCCTAAAATATATTTAATTATTTAATATTTAAAATACGTAAATTTATCTATATTTTTGTTAATTTGTGACGCTTTATCTACAGAAAATATATCGCGGTGCAAGTGTAATGTATCTTACATATGTAGATAAAGTTTCGACAAAAGACAATTCGTTCTAAAAATTAAAATGGAAGTTTTAAATCATGTTGATGAAAGGTATGTTTTTTTTTTTTTTTTTTTTTTTTATTAATTTCTACAATTTTGTGAAATGTATTTTGTAAGACTATATAACCGTAAATCCGAGATATTGTTAATATAATATTAACAGAATACTTCAGTTTATTTTTATAAATTTAAAGAAGGTGTATAAAATTATTCATTTTGTAAAATGTTTTGTAAAATCAAATGTATATTTTTGTCCTATATAAAAATTGAAAATAAAACTTTGATGTGTGAGGTTATGTTATCGAAAATATAATTTCAGTTATATTGTTTAAAAAGCTTTTGATTAAGTGATGCTTTTCTAAATATATATTTTGTAGTGTGGATGAGAATACAATTAGCAATGACAATGTCGGCGTAGTTTTAGAAGAAGCAGAAATAATAGATTGTGATACAGAAATAGAAACTATCACAGAAGAAGACAATATACAGTATCAATTATGTGAAGTAAATAGAAATGATAATGCAGTGGCATATCGCGTGGTACAAGTCAGTGATAGTCATTCAAATAACTCTGAATTATCAATAGCTGCACCTATAAATAATACTGTTCAAGTTTTGACATCGCCTATCAATGGTCAGTTCTATGTACTTAGTAATGGTAATGAAGTAGTTACCTCAGAAACTACAAGAACAGTTGCACCACGTGTTAAATTGCAAATAGACAATCCACAAAACATCCTTACTACCATTAAAAAGGTAGCATATTTTGTGTGATGTATATCTTGTAAAAGTTGTTGAATGACATTAATTATTATTGCATATATTGCATATATCCTATATAGAGAGATGAAAGAAGAAGAGTAACACATAACGAAGTCGAAAGACGCCGTAGAGATAAAATTAATAATTGGATTTCAAAATTGGGGAAACTTTTACCAGAGTGTGAACAAAGTGCTACAGGAGATGGCGATTTAAAAACTAATTTTGAGTTACAAGTAATATAGTATATGATTTTAATACATTTACATGTTGTATATTACCTGGTTTATTTCGTTATGATATTCTAGTTCCAAGTATTGATTTGATTGATTTTTTCTGTTTACAGAGTAAAGGAGGAATTTTAGCAAGAGCATGCCAATACATTACAGAATTGCGTGATGTACAGGAAAATTTTCAACAAAGTTTAGATGAAAATGCTCAATTGTTAGAAGAAGCTAGAACTTTAAGGCAAGTGGTAAATCAATTGAGGAAAGAAAATTCAGAATTAAAAGACCAAATTGCAAAAAGTGCAACATATATACTTGGTACCTAATTTTTGTGAGTATATAAGTCACATAAATGAGTATAATAAATAACAATAGATATGGTTTCCTTTTTATTAAATATCTTTTCTTTGAATTGATTTTGTTAAAAGTATATTACCTTCTTGTAACAAGTACTGGTAAAAAATAATGTGTAGGAAATGCATATAACTCAGTATAATAAAATAGTAATGATGTAGTAATTATAAAATGTTTATTTACATATATTTAACTGAGTATATATTTATATTTTGAAAACAATTGTAAACACATTATGTAATTTCAACTGTACATATCATGAACAATAATTATTATATAACGTGAACAATCGAGCAAAGAGAGTAATTTATTATTAAACCATTAAATTAAATATACAAATATACAAAACATTGTGCTATCAATCAATAATTAATCTTTATCCAAAAGTTATATGTCATTCAGTTTTAAAGTTCCTTATCACCTAGAACATGTTGAAATTTCCACTAATGAAGAGTTCTACAATATTTACACTTATAAAATACAATATCTATCTATTTATTTACATGAAACAAAGTGATACATTATTGTATCAATTGTTTTTTTTTTTAAATATTTCAAAGTGCAACGTGCATGTGCATATTAATGATGTACAATTACAAAATATGCTAATCATCAATATGCACGCGCAACTATTTACGTTAAATGCAAGGGAAAATATATGCATTCACATACATATGCAACAGTTTAAACTGTTATTACTGTAACGCCTAGTAATATTATTGCTTTAAAGCACATTATTTTGACGTTTGTGCAGAATAATGTCTGTTTCAATATTTCAGAGTAATAATACAAATTTTCCAATTCATAATTACAAGAAGAGTATGTATCAAATTATTAATTGTATATTTACTAAATTATGTGTCTTTATTAAGATATGTAGAGTGTGGTCAATAGAAAGAAGAAATTGTAATATTGAAATTCCTTTTTTTATTTCGTAACTAATGCATCCATAGAATATTTGTAATATTACTCTGATAATGTATAGAATTTTTATTCCTTAATTGATGTGAATTAGTGAATTCAATGAATGAAAAGTTCTGAATTGTGCAGTATGCGATATTATCGTTTCAGCGCTTATAATTAACGTGTGATATTTCTCTTCTTACATTTAGTCACATTGGCCATTATATATAGTTGCCCTTATATAACAATACTTATAGAGAAATTGCGTTCGAACAAATAAATTTGTCCTATAAAAATAACTCTTAAATGAATTAGGTCCAGCAACAAATGTATCGCTTCTAATCTACACATCAATGGTTAATGATCTCTGTACAGTTGAGTAGGAATCTCGTTCTTTCACTTTATCATATTGTCCTCGTCATATAGTAAATACAATGCCAGAAAATAAGCAAAAATATACTTCTGTGTATTGTTTATGTTTCACAAGTTTTACATTTTTCTTCTTTCTCCTGTAAAATTACATTCAAAGATAAAGAGTAACAATTATTTTTTTTTTACGAACGTATATTTTAAAGAATGTACCTACATGCATTAAGAAGGAAAGTGTCAGAAACAAACAAAAAAATATTTAGTAAACATATTGGCAGTGTTGAAAACTTTCACAATTGGTGGGTCAGTTTGTTTTTAAAACATTAATTGAATTATGCGATAAAGAACTATAGCATTAATTTTTATATACAAAACACAGAGGTTTTTGCTAGCTGACTGGCTTTCATCGTGATATTCTCATAAGACTTTTCTGTACAAGAGTAGAAAAACTTGAAAGATATCTCGGATGATACTTTTTTTTTCTTGTCTAGAAACTGCTGCAGTAGCAGTAGAAAAAAGCGCGATATGCGAGTATTTACACATTTAATGGTATGTATGTACCTATATCATTAATACTGTCGCTCCATATTCGACGTAGAAACATAATTCTCCGTCTATATACCAAAAATTTAAATCTTCATACAAATTACAATGAATACTATGATTTACTGCTCCAGATGAAATGACGACAATTGTAGGCAGTAAAGGGGCGTATCGTGAAACAATTTGATTCTTTTCCTTTTTATGAATATGTGATACGTTTTTTTATGAATATGTGGTACGTGTGATACGTTTTGCTTCACTGAGAGAAAATTTCAAGGTATGATATTTGTGTGAATTGAACGTCGTTTTTTTTCATTTCATTGTGCATATTAAAAGAGACTATCTAAATGATCATCAAACCAGTAATGTAGTTTAAAGATTCTTCATTTTGAAATTATAAATATATCTATCTAGTTAAGCGAAATTCTGTTACGCTTTGCCCGTACTTTTCTCTCAGTGCTACCCTTCGTATCCATTTGCTTCATGGATCCCTGAGAAACAAACATTTCTCAGTCAGTCTTTATTACCATAAAAAAAATCAGTGGCCATTGCTAATCCAGCCATTGCCCACAACATACAAGTAGTTACATTCCAATAACGCTATAGTTTATCACTAGTCTTTTATGTGATTCCGTGATAAGAGTGACTAGTACTTTCTCTTTAATACCGCAAAGCTTGCTATCGGCTTTACACATAATGTTTATATATGTCTAGTAGTAAGTGCATTCGTTTTTCTAGTTTATGCAAGTTTTTTTCTTCAATTATATTTTCAATATCGACCCACCTCTTATCGTTTTCTCTCTGAACGTTCGAACTTCTCGCACGGTATTCTTTTCCATTTTGTAATATCAATCGTTTCATCTAAACGTGGCTTGTACACGTACTTTTCTTTATATGAATTTATAATTACGTTTTATTAGTAATATTTCTTGCGGTTATACTTTGAACAAACAACAATTTTCTAAAACCAACTAATTAGTAATACCTTGTCACTCCGTGATTGCAGTGATCTGTGTGATTGTAAGACGGCAGAGCACAGAATCTAGAAGAATCTTCCTCGAGGCAGTGAAATAAATATCGCCAACGATGCAAAGTTACACTTTTTTTTGTTTTTATCGAACTGCGTGTGATTTAAATTAAAACAAGAATTAACTACGCACGGACAGACGAAAAGTAGCGTAGCGTTTCGCTACCCTGTTAACAGGACGTATCAATATTATTGGATCGATAACAATTCAAAGATAAAACTTAACGATTAGATAAATAAAATACCTTCGTTCCATACATATGATAGGCGCTTGTTGTCGTTTGCTTCCGTGCAACATTAAAACAATCCCCATTTGATCATTCGAATGTTCTTAAATGTCGAAACATCGAAGAAAATCGGATAGATCGGAAGTTTTGATTGGAACTCTTTGGAAAATGTTTCTTTGAATCGCGTAAATTACGGTCGCGAAGCAACGATTAAGCGCTTGTCTGCAGACTTTTACAAGTCAATGTATGGCACGAAGGTAGGCCTGTCTCAGGACGGCTGAAGTCGTGTATTTTTCTTGCTGCTACCGAACGTGAACCAAGTGCCAACTTTACGTCCTAACGAATTTGTCGTAGCTTGCCCGATCATTGTAGGCATTTCGTAAGCCGACTCTCTTTTGTACGTTTTGTCTGTAATTGTTCAATCCGGACGATTATGATAATATCATAGGTTTAAAGTATACTTACGAAGGTTCAGACGATAATTGTTGTACGTACTGCGAGGTTTAATTGGCGGTCTGTTCTGCTGTCTCGTGGCTGCGAGCCTAGCCAATTGCCTGGCCGCAGAAGGGAATTCTAATCCATCGTTTCTATCCTGAGCAACCAGTCTTCGTTCCTCCGCCATGGCTGCCAACCATCGACGCTTTTCTTCCGCTGTGCGACAGCAGAACAACAACCATTTATCTCGAACACAGCTGTATACTTTCAAACAGTGCCTTACTGTTACACCTAGTTGGTGATCTATAAACAAATCATCAATAACTTACAATCAATATATTAAAAATTATTAGATGAATATTAGATAATTATTACATATTTTTTAAAAATTTACCTTTTCCATCGGGAACATCGATCACTTCGCTTGTGTCGAGATAAATTCGCCCCTTGTACACGTAAGTATTTCGCTTTAAAATATCCTTTTTACAATACACTAATTGGTGATCGAACAGGAAAAGGGTAATATTGTTTGTCCACATGCCAGTGGTAACTCTTACAGCTTCACCTTGATAAATTAATTGCGACGAAACCTCTATGAGATCTTCACCCTGTAGCATTAAAGTGTAGCACCATTGTAATTTAATCAATATTAATTTTATAAATTTTATCATCTTTTTCATATTCGTACCTCCCACCCTTCAACTCTTAGTTGCCACGCAGCCAGCTTCTCCAGGCTCTCCATCCGCCTCTTTCTTTCGTTAATCAAAACAGCAACATCCCGCATCGCTTCAAGAGCTTCCTGAATTTTATGATAATCCGGATGATCGGTCTTCGTATATTTCAATAACTCCGCCAACTGGAGCGGATACTTGCATATCCGTTGCACAGGCGTCAACAAATAGCCGTCTAAAGGAATTTCTATCAGTCCTCTCATTAATCTACAGGCTTCGAAAAATTTGCTGTAACGATTATGTTGGTACAATTCCTGCAACGTGGCGGTAGCCATCGGATGACTGTTGCAGTACTCCGAATACATACGAAATCCCGCTCTCTGAAACAATTTTAAAAGTCGAAGCAACCATCTACTATCGAAACGAAACTAACGAACGTCAACTAAGTTTTTGATCTCCTTACATGATTTAGGAAACACTCGCCCACGCAACTCTTGTACGGGGCACTCCAGTCGATCCGAGTTTCCAGCTCCTTCAAGAATTCCGATTGGAAGTCCAATAGTTCCTCGAGGTTGATGAAAATCGTTTCTATCTGCTCCTCGGTGAACATATCCGTGCGCCGACGACATTCAGCTATGTAACCTTCCGCAACATCCCTCAGTATCTTAACGAAATCTCGTTCGGTTTGAACCAGTTCGCGAACTACGCTCGTTCTGACTTGCTCGTTCGATAATAGCGAAACACTGGTACGTCTTCTCAGTTGCGAATTTGACGTACCACCAGAGGCCATTGCCGCTAAACAATCCTCGACAGTATCTTCTTGGCTTACGCGTAACTGAAAACATGATACTCTTTGCAAACACTGTAACTGTCAGAGGTATCTTAATCCACGAAAGTATTAAGAAAAGTTATAAGTTTCACTAACGTCTTATTGTTTTATTTTATTACTTTCACGAGTAATAAGATGTTTATGTTTTAAAATGAGAAATATTAAACAAAGAGAATTCCAATATTCCTAGTATAAAGTTTTTAGGAGAGATCGGTGATATACCCTAACAAATGCAGCCGGGAACCAGCCATGCTCTCCTCTGCAACTACCCCACCACCAGTCTTTGTCCAGGTTGTCCAAAACTTCGATCACATCGCCAGCACGAAAAGCTAGCTCCTCTGGTTCCATTGCCACGTGGTCCCAAACAGCTTCAGCCAGGATTACCACCTCTTCGTCCATCGTCTGCTCGAAGGACTTCTTTCTATCCGTCAAGGAGGCGATGGAGGATTCCGAATCAGACATCATCTCATCGTCAGACGTTCCACCCCTTCCATCCTGTTCGTCCTCAGACAGAACGTTTCCACCGGGCAACCTCGCGCCTGATTTTAAACAAAACGATCCTTGTTTTTATCTCGAGAAGAAAGGAAACGACAGCTCGCACACGGAGCTCGGAAAATTTTTTATATTTTCTATCTGTCACTGGATCTGTATCGCACTTTGCTTTCGCTTCGACGCTTAAATTTATAATACGTGAAAACAATCGATATATACGAAAAATCACCCTGTGTAGGTATCCATGATAGGCTTGCTGGCGTTGGCAGAGCGGAAGATTAAAAAATCGTTTATCACGTTTCATGGGAGTGATTAGTTGTTTCTTTTCGTAGAGCTTCACGAAACGCGACTGCCCGGAGAAATATTCTTGAAATATTCCTGATAAAGGATTCTTTCCAATTGTCGAAAATTACCGAAATATTTCGTGAAACTCTCCAAGGGTGATTACTTTCTACTGCAAACAAAAGCGTTATATTCACAGGAAGCAATCCTTACAGAACGAAGATATCAACACGTTTAATACAGGAGTGTTCCGCATTCCTTACTGTTAAGAACTCTTCTTACAGGTGCGTTTTGTTACAACGGTGTGTATGCTTTGAGACTTTTTTTTTTTTTTTTTTACAAAGGATGCATGCTAACTTGGAGCACTGTCGGAAATGGTGGTCTAAAGAGAAACTGAATACCACTGGAGTAGAGAAGAATGTGCACTAATCTTCGTCAACGGGTTCGCTACCAGTGTACTTTCGTACCAAGCAAACAAGCAATATGCTCCTTTTCGAGAAAAGAAAAGGAAGAAAAAGAAATGAGAAATGGCCGCACATTTTTTTCAAAACAGTCAGTCGATGTTCGTATCTCCAAAAATTCAAGAATTCAGTGCTACATCGTGACAGTGAATCAGCGTGTAACTATAACTAACTTGTAGTGTATAATGTGAAGAAGGAAAAAAAATTAAAAATTACTTATTTGCTTGGAAGGAAAGAAAGGAAAATATGTGGTCTACGTTAGAACTCAAACAATTATTAACAAGTTAACGCTCGATTTTAGATTGACAAGTGTTAGTTTTACCTGCAGTTTTGGTGCGCATCAAGGGTGATAGCTGATTGATACCCAGTGGTTGACTAAGTGAACGCCTCAAATTTGTCCGAGAACTCCTCCCTTTCGCGTTACTGGGGCCAAAATAAAATCGTAATTAATTTTTCTTTTTGACTACACATGGTCAGATAAAGGATCAACAAGCTTTGTGTTTACGTAGAAGCATCGATACAACATTCAGCAACGATTTACAATAGGTAGATATATATATATATATATATGTATGTACATACGACAAGATATACACGTGTATACAGAGTGGTTCTGTAAATTGTCCTACCTCAAAAAATTACTCCTTTCTTTGTTCTTACATTTCCCAGCCGTAAATAATGTTTCGCATTTTCTTTTTGTTTAAACTAATTTTTCTATTCTTAAAAGATTTTAATATTTTAATTATCAAAGCTTTTAAAGATTATAAATTTTAAAATATTTTTTCCTAGACTTAGTATTCAAACTAGTGCTTTGAATTTATGAATATTACATACGCGTTACGAATGGTAACTGAAGATGTTTAAATAGAACCGTTCGTCCCTACCACTACTTACTATAAAAGAAATTTCCGTTTAAAAAAAAATATAAACGTTTTCTCGAGTGAAAGAAGCAAGAAAAGATTGACTGCGTAAAATACGAAAGAACCACTCCGTACATAATAACGCGTGGCAGACCAACTGTTTTACGAGGAAAAATTAAAAGAAGGTGGTTTGTTATAATACCCGTCTACCTACCACTATTCTCCCTCGATTTACTGGAAAGGTTCGAGAATAAAGAATTTAAATTTTGTCAAGGATAATCTTTCAAGGGATTGTTTTGATGATATTGTAATGTCGTGCTATGATTCGTTTCGAATTTCAAACAGAAAGGGGAAAGGGAAAAAGTAAATAAAAAAAGAAGAAAAAAAAAAGAAAGGGAAAAGAAACATTTTTCTTTCTTTTTTTCAAGGACAAATCATTTTCCCTTTTTCTTTCAAGAATAGACCATTCGAGTCTTAACGAAATTGACAAACGAAGCACCTAGATTTTTCCATAGGTATGTGTATTTTGTTTCATAGCAGAGAGTTTATGCATTCGCCGACTAACGAGCATATTTTATCCTCGAGTACTTGCACCGAAACCCAAGCAATCGCCATCTACATTCCGATATATCTAAATATCAAAAGTTACGCTTCACGTCCTATTTCAGTGCGTACCGTAAATTACAGTTCAATTTTCATTTACAACGTCATCGAGGTTCGACGACGGACAGAGTTTTCACAAGATACATCGGGGAGATTTACGTCAGCGATTGGCCAAGGTTTGCAGTTTTCTCGTCAGAGTTGAGCCTCGCTCGCAGTATGGCAAAAAGTCAATGAGGTGTTTGCGATAAGGATGCGAAAGCACGAGGACGGATCACGATCATTGAACGTACCTTCTCAGTGTAACGATGTCATGGGAGGAGTGCCTCGGACTGAGCCTAGGAGGCCTCGTCTTGATCGGCGACGGTGTCGAGAGCATCCTGCGATAATTGTGCGCGTGGCTGTAACCAGACCTCGTATCCCACTGCAGTAACCTCTGACCTCCTAAATCGCTGTTCGTTCGACGTACATGCTGATGCCTCGACGTTCGACTCTGAAGATCCGCCTGAAAGTACCACACGTCCTCTCGTTAACAATCGACCTCTCAACGCGATTGCTCGAGCGGCTAAGCGAAAATGCAGCTCTCCGCGTCTGGCTGTGCGATCGTTAAGCCAGTCTCTTCCAGAAAATTGCTCGATCGTCGAGCAAGCCCATTCCTTCTCACGGATTAGATTCACGCGCTTTGGAATTTTGTTAATACACACAAGTATACACACAATGATACATAATTCTGGTGTTTACATCGTGGCAAATTTGTATTAGTAACTTGTGGATTAGAACGGTGGTGTTAGACACAGGTGCCATATGTGTTTGTTCCATGCTAGTTCCACCGTTGTCTTATTCGCATTTTTACTTTGTTTACGATTTATCTTTGTTACACCGAGCGAGTTAAGCAAATTTTCAAACACTGTTTGACCGATCTTGGAGCTAGATTAAGTCGACACAGACACGTCGTTGAAACACGATCATGTGCAAAAAAAAAAAAAAATCGCGGTGAAAAAGTGCAAACTTTGCACAAGCCGTGACTCAACTTTCATCCGCGATTCCATAAATCGTATATATTCGGCCGGGTACTCGGCTCGATATCAACTAACTAGAAGCGCGTTTCCTCTCCTTGTATCCTGGCCAACGCGATATATTCTGTTGCCGCGTATCAGTGACTGTCGGTGATCTGTACGAGCGTGGTTAAACCGTACACGAACGTGAGTAATGCGAATTATTGTGTCGAAGGAAACAGTCATACGTGTCGAGCGATAATGATTACGAATGTGCCACTTTCTCAACAATAATTGTTATAACCGGCCAGGGAAGTGACGGAAGGAGGATGGACGTCAGTAAAAGATGGTACGACACGCGGATTGAAACTGCACAGGAATTAAAATAAAAGCGATAAAAACGTGTATATATGTATATATACATATATGCAAACATTCATGACAAATGGATCACATTTCGTCCATCGAAAGCAGAAGCGTTTGTCTTCGGGATCCTCGTTTCTTGCTATCACACCCACACAGTTGTTAGTTTCTTTTGGAATCAATTGTTCACAGTTAGACATGTTGTAACATAGAGAGAGAGAGAGAGAGAGAGAGAGTGTTTTGTATTTGAGAGGTTAAATGAAAATAAACAAAAGAAAATTATCGAATCCGTTTTTGAACCGAACGCAGACGAACGCAATACTCATTGCGCTCTGACGTTTTATGATTCGGTTGATTATATTACTGGAATTCGATTGCCACGATACCACCAATGAAAATGTAAATCTATCTATAGATACAAACAACGTCGCGCAGTTTCAGCGACGTTGGCGTCGGTGTATTAGACACAATTTGGCACAATTTCATGGTACCATTTCTCGCAGCAGGATTCATACGCTTCTGTGTATTACATCATCAAAACTACAATCCTAGTATAGTAATCCTATTATAATCGCACAGCGTCACCACGAAATCGCAACAGTGTCACGTCCTTTCTCTCCATTCTCTGGATTTTATGCACGAAAATATGCACAAAACACTCTCCCAGGTTGCGGTGCTCCCATTTAGTCGACGACGTTAAGCACAGACACAGCAATGACGGAGAACTTCTCGTGCGGTTGGCGGTTGTTAATGATTAGCACGAAAATTGCATTTAGCGGGAGAAACGGCGGCAGGGAGAGGGTACGGAGGGACGGGGGGCAAAGAGCGATAGTCTTTACCTTAAACTTGTCGATCAGTATCTGGTTGATGAGCTCGGACTGGGGTCGTGATTTGTCGGCGACTCGCCTACGAAGGGCTGGCGGGCTGTCCGTCTCGTCTTGGACGTCCGTGTCGTGGGACTCGGAGCTATCACCACCCCCCATCATTCCACCACCACCACCCCCAGTCAATGCTCCACCAGATACCATCTATATCGTTTACAATTTACTTCGTTACTCGGCGAGTCTACGCTGGACAATCTAGTTGTTTTCTTTAACTTTTCGACAGAGTACAGAGTACAGAGAGTCCATGCGACTGCTTGGCGTGACGCTTGGCGTGGGAAAATGAATTTTCTAAAAGGGATTACTAGTTGCGGACACGGAAGATTCGAAGAAACGCTATACGCGTCTCGTTAGTTTAAAAGGAATACGTTTTTTTTTTTTTTTTTTCTATGGACTATCCGCTGTCATCTCGCTCTTACCTCGATTTGTATTCCACTATCTCCGCTGTTGCATTTCGCGTTTCTGGCAGCTTTGCTGCCCTTTTTCCTCTCCTTGCTGCTTCTCCATACAAGAGGACCAAACCTGTAACAACAAAAAAAAAGCACACGTAATATTAAACTGCAAATGGCATTTTTCATTGATAAAATTGAACTTTTTACAAGAAAATAGAATAACGAAATACACATACAGAGATGAGTAGAATTAAAAAAATTGAAGTTAAACAGTTCATATATATATATATAACAGATATGTTTCTAGAAAACTCTGCTTTGAATATTTCTTTTATATTCGTGCATTCTGCGCGTTGGTACACTCATAGAATTTCGCACGATTACGCAATCTAGGAATAACAATTGAAACTAACCGGAATTTCTGGTCGTTATTTGTGTCTTCTTTGTGCTGAGGTGTCTGCTCCGTGACAGACGGCGGTTCCCTTTCCTCCTCCTCGTCCAGGGGGCCGGATCCATCGTTATCTTCGGCCGGACACTCGCTCTCATTGCTCTCTTTGCTGCCCTTTTTGTGGAACCTCAAGGAGAAGCTCTTTCTGAATTTCTGCAAAACGCTCTCTTGCTGGCTCTGTACGCTCGAACGGGGAGGATTCTGGGTCCCGGAAGCGGTCACGAGATTGGCACTCAAGTTAGAGGGCTGCTCTTGAAGACGCGAGTGGGAGACCAAGGGAATTGTCGCCTCCGCCAGAGGATGCTCCGTTGTTACGTGACCTGTTGTGCCCTCGTCCTCTTCGTCTCCCGACCACTGTCGACTGTCACAATATAATACCATCGAACTTTTAGTAGCAGATAAATGCTCCTTACGTAAAAATGTTACTTCTTAATTTTTTTTTTTATCACGATAGCTGTTACAATCGGCACGCGTGAACGATTAAGATCCTTTTTAAAATGATTGAATTTCTGTCACTCTTATAACGTCACTGAAGCCTATGAAAATCTAAGATCTGATCCTCGATACCTCAGTGTGGGATCTGACCTTGGATATCTTATTTTAAAAGTTACGTTTAACTTTGATTTCTAATCTAACTTGATTTCAAATCTTTCAAACATTATTGCATTATCGTTATAAAAAAAAAAAAAAAAAAAAACAGAAATCTTCTTCGAGCGAGTTGAGCAACGGAATTCGACGTGAATCCTGGTCACTTCTATTCAAAACTATTTGAACGCTATCGAGAAACAAATGAAATGAAATTCGAGGCGTCGAGTAAATCGATGGGAAAAATACGCGATGATTTCTCTAAAATCAATCAACTCAACTCCACACGTCGTAGTGAGAGAAAAGGGAAGAACTGTTTGGCCATTTCTTCAAGTTACTCTCGCGCGTATAGGAGTTAACGGACGCGAGGCGATGATCATTTCGATTATCCGTTTAATCAATGGCCCATTGTGATCTCCACAGTGGAAAATAATTGACGGGCCGTTGGAAATTCAATACCGTTTCTTCCTCCTCGCGGAGGCCACGGGAGACGCGCATCGTAAAATTGATAGATTACGAAGATACGCACGTACAGCAATTCACGCGGCTGAGCACGGAACACGGCAGCTGACCAGGTGTCTACACGAGGCTGTGTAACGGAAACGACGCACGTCGTCGCCGCGAGCCAGCCTCCTTTGTGAGCACATCGTTCCTCGAGAACGGAAACCTGCGGTCTCCGAATATCACGAAATTTTCGCGAATCGTCGCTCGATTAAATATTATTTTCACGAAACGCGATTCCTTTTACGCCTTTAGAAACCTTACTATTAGTCACTATTCTTTGTTTATACAGCGCATATCGTTGCTTCGGCAGACGTTCTTTTTAACTTCGTTCGGAAAGACGAGAAAATTCTGTGAAAATAGCAAATAACTTTGAGAGAAGTGCTCTTTTCTTTCTTCCTTTTTTTTTCTCTCTTTTTTTTTTTTAAGCGATCAAGATCGTTGACGCGACTTTTGAACGAGCAACTATTGAAAAACGAGCGAGACTCCACTCGACGTGGCGTGTGCGTTCGAGAGTTATTGCTTCAAATCGAGATATAATCGAGCCAGATTCTCCAGTTTGTTTTGAAAGTGGCTCTCGTTTTACGCGAGATATGTGGCTCCTGTTTGGAATGGGATCGATTTGAAGAAACACGACCGAGAGAAAAGAAGCTTTTTTTTTTTCTTCTTTTATTGTATTTTCAACAGCGCGAGAGATAACTAAGTGGGTTTAGCATGTTTTGCACACGCTTTCGAAGATAATGAAATTTCTGAGTCATTAGTTTTGTCCTTGGTGAACTAATTATACTGTCCGTAGAAACTATTCTTTTACATTGCACATGCAAAAGAAAAAAGAGAAAAAGACCAATGTGCGGTTCCACAGTCGTTAAGTTAAAATCAACAACGCTCTCCCGCTATACGCGGTTACTCTGCGTTAGATTAGTGGAATAATATGCCGCAACGTCACGTACCACATCATCGAGATGATTTTGAACGATTTTTTCTCCTCCTCCGGGTTAATGTTCGCCGACCTGTGTCTCATTATTTCTTGCTTGACCAACATTTCAACGCCCCAGCCGTTTCCCGTATGTTCCCCTCTATTTGTTGGAACTTCTCGCGGTGACAACACGAGCACCCCTCACGTCGTTCGGATGCATATTTCTCAAATATTCACGAAAGCGAAACGAAAAGCCGTTCTAATTATTTGTTTTCGTCGAAATTTTATCACGAGCAACTCCCGTTTCAAATTTTGACACTTTTTCGAACAGAAAAGAAGAGAATTCTTTCATTCACGGTTTTCTATTTATACGCTCCGACGAGGATAAAATCCTCGAGATTATTCGACGCACGAAGAACCACTTGCAACCACTTTTAGACAGGAAATGCGTCGAGTGACGGTCTGCAGGCGACTGAAACCTTCGGCCGGCACACCAAACCAGCACCAACATGCGTGTGCACGTTCGTGTCTCGCGCTGTACTCGGTAGGTCTGTACAATCCTACGTGGCGTAAAGATATTCACGGAAATCGTCCTTCCTGCACACTAGAATTTTTATTTCACGACAAAAGTCTGCCGGCCCGTTGTTTCAACCAGGAACCCCGTCACTTGTTGATCGGCTGCGATATAATCACGTGCACGTACGTTCTCCTTTGTAATCCTCTCTCTTCCCCCTTCGTTGAACGGGCAACTACAAATATCTGGTCCGGAGGAATCGGCAGGAACACACACTCGATCAGATTCGATCACGAGCAATAACACACCCTCACGATCGTCCCATCAATGGTTAGAAATTGAACAGGGGGTGTCCGAGTTTTCTTGGTAAAAGCATCGACGACATTCGTGCATCCAGCGATTCGGCAATTTGTTTCGTCGAAGAAGGGCCCGCCGCGCCGCGAAAGACACAAAGGCCACTCTCCGAAAACGAGAAAATCGCTGGGAACCACTCTGGTCCAGGAGGAAGCGCTTTGAACGACGAGCCGCGGCCGACTGAAGGCTCCACCACCAATGCCACACAAATCCAGTCTCACATGTGTCTCACGTCCCTCTGTGTGTGTGCACGTACACGTGCACGCGTGCAAGGTTTGTGTGCCGATGCACCTCGTGAACTCTTCCAAGAACACATTTCGAGGGTCGCTTCAGGTATAAACCGACGATGCCGAGGGGTTGCTCGTTTCTTCCTCCTCCACACCTTTCGCGCGCTGTCTTCTTTTTTCCCCTCGCTTCGTTCCACCCTCGTTTTTTCCTTCCTTCTCCTCCTCCCCTCTCTCTCTCTCTCTCTCTCGTGGTAGAGTGAATGGTGGACGAGAGATCAGCGACCAAGGAGAGCCGTCGGTCTCCACAAAAGGTACTATTTAGCCATTGTAGTGACAGCGGCCCCCTCTCGGCTCCTCACTCGGTCTCCTTTTAATCGTCCCGAATTTTTACTCCGCCATCGCGGGACGCGCCACCTTCCGTACAAATTTGACACGCCGCGCCGAACCCTCGCCTCTTTGAGGACTTTACTAATCTCCGTTGTCCTCCCCTGCGCTTCCTTTTGTTCACAGAGCGGTGTTTTCCTTCTTTCCACCCCTCTTTGCACGCACGCTTCCGCCAAGTCGTGGTGCACACCGTAATCAACCCTCTGTTTCCCCGACGTGTCAGAGAAACCGTCTCAATTCCGTGTGGTCCGCTTTTGTTCCTTCCTTTCTGCAAATTTAGAGAGTTCCCGGACCGGGCGACAGATACTGCGATCGCCGTGGTAGGTCCCATTTTTCCCTTTTTTCAACTTTTTGCCACCCGAAATGAAGCGTACAAAAGTCAAAGACCATTCCGGTTATTGAAAGTTATTCGAGGTGCATTGAAATTCGCTGCGGATAGGACGGACAAGGAAAAGAAAGAGAATTTGGAAAAAAATATATGACCAAGGAAGAACTTGGAGAAACAGTGGTCACGTTCGTGACATTATTATTTTTCATGAGGTACCGGTCCCTCTATCGTTTCTGTTGACTTTTCGAGTTCTACGTAGCGACGGCACGTGGCACGTGGAACAAACGATAACTTTTCGTTTTATCGATTTGCGTTTAAATCTAGTACCGACGCGCGTGGGTGGAGCGCGTTCGATTTTTCTGGCCATCACGTAGGCGTTTAAAACCAGCTCGGCACTGTTTCCACAGAGATCGTCAATTTGTTCGATCATCCATCACTTATAAATTTCTCGTCTCTTTGATCTTGTTAATCTCGTTGATAACGACGGCGACGATAACATTTGTAGACTTTGGTCCAACGGATCTTTAAACATTTCGTTAGAAATTTTTTAATATGAATTACAAATTTTTTTTGTGAATCCAAGGACAAAGGAAAACTTGATAAAGGAAAACTTTGGTCAACAAAGAGTGGAAAGTTTTCTACGTTCTTGAAAGACAATCGTTTTTTATTAATGGATCGCAAGATGAACCGAGAGCCAAAGGAATCTGGTATCTTCCCTTGAGATCTTATTCTTAAAATATACTTCTTAAAATTTTTATGACTTACACGACGCCAAAACAAGAGGATCTTTTGCATTTTAAATTGGAACTTGCATATATTATTGGAATTTGTAAATATATCCCGATCTGAACGTTCGGGTTTCAATTCTGAAATCTGGATGATTGCGACTTCGTATCCAAATTTTAATTGAAATTTATCTGAAAGACTTCGTATCCAAATTTTAATTGAAATTTATCTGAAAGACTTTGTGTCCAAATTTTAATTGAAATTTATCTGAAAGACTCAGATTTGACGCAATTCCACCGAGCTTCGGAAACTTCGAACGAGACTTCCTTTCGAAAGGATTCCTCCTTCGGATTCTCGCTTCCTCTTGGAATTTGAGATTTAAAATACAATACATTCACGCGCGATCGGGAATCAGTTTGCGGCATTAAACAGAGCGTGAGTAGAAGCGAGTCCAGAACGGAGAACTTGCCCGTTTTCCAAAACTTCGTATTAGAATAATGCTGAGCTGCGCCTCATTGTCGGCACAACAAAGTTGTGAGAACTTCTCGAGCGTAGAAGATTGACGTTCTCGCTAAATTGTTATCGCCTCGATGAAACTATCACCTATCACTCGTTTGTACTGTTGGAAGTTTCTTTGATCCAATTAATAACGAGCGGATTGACCGCAGGAACGATTTTTCTTACGATTTCCCTAACATCTGAAAAGGCAACATGCTGAGAAATGTTCTGTCCTTTGCCAACAAATTATTTTCCATAAAAAGACGGAAATTTCAAAGCGAGCTTCCCAACGTTCTAAGTAAAGAAATTTCCTTTCAACTGATTATAATTAAGACGCAAAGTCGTGAAACAACTCGCAGAAGGCTCAGTGGCTCGCGAACGAAGGAAAAGAAATGTCGAATCAAAGCGCGATGCGTGGACAAAGGCATTTTCCTCTCAATTGATCGTAATCAACAAGGTGCAAAGCGTGGAAACGCGACGACCTTGGCAACACTGACTATTTTCGGACAATTTACTGGGAAAGGTTAGCTCGTCACATATTAACGGAGGTTGTTTCGGGGGGGAGTGAAACAGGCCGGAAGCGAGCGTTACTCCGTCTCCGTGAAACTAAAGCGGATGTCACGAGAGATTCTCTATTCAGCCGGTAATTAGAGCAACGACCGGATGAATGTTCGTCCAGGTACAAAGTCGATGGAACGCCGAGCCGGGTCATTCGAAGTAACGTCTTTATTCTTGCCTCGGCAAACAACCCCGGCTGCGAGACACGCTGAAGGGATCAAGAGGTCGCGATAGAAAGCTGGAAAGCAAGAGCAAGGCACTTCAAACGAACCTGAACGCAATCAACCCGCCACCTTTGATCTATGCCCCGTTCTTCGATCGACTGTTTTTTTTTTTCTTTTTTTTTTTTTTCGAAACTATTTTTACCTCTCGCCGTTGTCGATAATCTAGCAAAGTGGAAATTGCCGTCTGCTCGCTCATCGTTCCTCGCACGCTGTACTTTCTACGTACAGAGTAATAATAAAAGGCGACGGTGGTAAATCCTCCGGTGGGTAATTTCGTGCGGCGTTTTCAAGATACAGAGATTCATTGGAATTGTTTAACTCATAAACACGTTCCTCTTTGAAGAGCGACGAATTCTTTTACCTACTTTTCCTAAGGTCACTCCTGCATTGTTCTCTTAATTTCAAGAAGCATCCACCCTGTTTGCTTTCAAGATTTACGCGTAGTAATTTACACTGTGCTCGTCCATTATATCGCATTATGTTACGAAGATTATGTTACGTTACGTAAGACGAAGCTTCGTCCCTCAAACGAGCTCGTATTAAAAGTATATAAATTCGTCGTTTATCGCGTTTATATATATTTCCTTCGCGCGAAGAAAATCAAGTATATAAAATCAGCTTTTTAATATCTGTTGGCATAATATTTTTCATTAAAGGCAAATCTCCTCTAGATAGCCTAACCGGACACGAAACGGACAGATTTCGTACCTTAACTGTCACGAGTAATTCCCGAAACACCAAAATTCCTCTGAAATTCGAGTGAAATTTTTATCATTCGTCCCTCTCCCATATTCGTCATTCTTCCAAGTTGTGTATTTTCAAATTTTTACATCACATAGACACTAGAAAATAATTTTCGAAAGTTATAAAATTCGACTATTTTAACAAACGGCCACGCGAAATGAACTGAACGACGATCAATGACGAACAATATATACGTCGGAGCAATATTTTCAAACGAGACAACACGAGCTGCGTCGTCCGTGAAATTTCACCTCAGGTCCCGAAGATCAAAAATCCGATTATAAACGCTGCGATTCAAAAATAACCACTCACCTTTCCACATCACGGTCGAGAAGCGCCGGCGTGCTCGAAGCTTTGATACGCCTCTGCGCCTTGCTCAGCCCAGGAATTCGTCTCCTCTCTTTCCCGGAGTACGCGTTTGAGCGTTGATCGTGCAGCGGCTGCAACGGAAACATAATCGAAATCACTTTACGCGTCGATACGCGCATAATTGCGCAGGAGACCTCTGTGTGTGTGTGTGTGTGTGTGTGCGTGTGTGTGTCTTGGATCAAAGCACTGGATGCAATGTAACCCGGTGATAACCTCGCGCGCGGGAAAGTTGATCGCCGATCTATTCCCATGATTCGACACGCACGAGTGCTCTCGATCGTTCCTATCTAGACAGGCTTATCGAGCCGAGCTTGCTATCCAAGAATATTCCACGTTATATCTCTCGTTAGTGAATTATTTCGTAAGAGAGCAAGTCCTCAATGTTGCGTCCGCTCTCTGGGTCACTGTGCCTCCATTCACGTTTCCCAGTTGTTGGCTCCTCTTCCTCAAGAATGAATAATAAGACGCGATTCATAATAGATCGCATTGTGCAGCATTTAATGATCCAGCGCGATAACGATATCGAGCCAAGTTCAATCCGATCAGCGATCCACTTTTTCTCGAAATATCGCCGTCGATCCAAATTAATTCCTCTCATCAAAGACTCTCGTTTCCAAAGAATTTCATAAATTATGTCAATTGTAATATCGCGTATTTTTAAGCATTGCATAGCTATAGTTCCGTCGTTTCGAAAAAAAAAGAAAATGTTTACGCTCATTATCGGCAGAAT